AGAAGAGAGAGAGAGAGAGAGAGAGAGGAGGAGGAGAGGAGAGAGAGAGAGAGAGAGAGAGAGAGAGAGAGAGAGAGAGAGAGACGCGAGTCGAGACCAATATCAAAGAAAAGAAAAGAGGGAGACCAGGCTTAGACGTTACAATAATAATAATAATAATAATAATAATAATAACAACAACAACAACAACAACAACAACAACAACACAACAATAATAATAACGATAATGATAATAATAATGACGAATACGTATAAGAAGACAACTGCGCGATCTTTCACAGCTAGCTTTAATTTGTTCATTCTTCGCGTTTAATGAGATCGATAGATCTCGTGGGTGCACGCGCGTGGAGCACGTGGCTCAATGGCGGGGAAACGAGGTGTTTCCTCTTAGCGCGTGCGTGCCGATGATTCTCGCTAGCCTTTTTCATTCATTTCTCGATCCTTTCGAGGATTCGAAGCGAGAGATAAACTTGTCTCTGCTTTTATCTTTATTTTTGCCTTGCATCTTGTATTGCCTCTTGTATACGTATACTTGTGTTTTTCAATTTCCCACATAATGAATCATTTATTATTGAATGCGCATTCGATTGCTTTGTACAGTTTTATTGTATTTAACATTTTGAATCTGTCCGATTTTTGTCCCCTTTGTTCGATTCATCATCAAAAACATCTATAACGTAAGATGCGAAAATGATATTTGTTTCAAACTCGTATCATACTCATCTTATTCATATTAAAAATATTTAAAAATTCCATTCTGTGTAAATTAGTTTTGATAGCGATAAACTTTCGTCATTTATACTTTTAATAAAAAACGGTTATGTTTCTTTCGACAGGTCATTATCTCTGTCGCCCTTAATTTTTCATCTTGTTGAACCTTCATATCTCATTGTAAAATACCATGGATGTGCCATGCAAGCTGATAAATATTTCAGCAGTGAATCAGTTGACTGAGAAAGAGAGGGAGGGGAGAGGGCAAAAAAGACGTGTGGAAGGGCTGGAAAGAATGAGGGAGAGGAAAAGAGAGATCGAAACATCTGCGTCAAAGAAGCGAAAAATCATTTTTAAAATGCGTGCTTCCTTTCGTTACGTCTGACGTAGTAATACTTCTTGGGAAATTGTTAGATAGCGCATAGCAATTATTACAGAATATTTGGGTGGACGGAAAACGAGATCTAGGATAAATAATACAAAAACGAGTTTTTAACGCGTTGAAATATGTTATTGCTTAGATAAACGAAATTCAAATAACCGAGCCACTCTGTTTACGGTATACGCTTATAAACAGTTTGAAATTTCACGGTTTGGCGTGTGAATGCGCACATAATTCTGTGTGGAAGTAACTCGATGTAAAATAGAATCTCGTTTCTCGTTATATTACAAAATCTCTGAATATTACTACATTTTTTAGTGAATGTCGCACTTGACTTTTTTTAGCGAGAATTTGATATAAGATCCGCGTGGTGCGTCTCTTGTGACATTTTATTTTGCAATTTTATTAAAAAACAGTTTGCTAACAGTCAAATCGAATAAAAATTCAGTTTGCTCAGAGTAAATCCCTTTTTATGGATTGCCCGAGATATGAAGATTTTCTTATTGTTCAATCATGTTCCTCGGAAACATATCTGTGTCAATGAAATTTTCAAACTTCCATCTCGAAATCCCGAAAGAACGTCTCTTTGACATTGAAACAATCGTCTCGTTATTTCACGGTTATTGAGATATTTTTCAGTAGTCATAAACCTAGGCTCAGCTTTGTAAAGCACAAACAAATTTTTTCATCGTTGACAATTTTCCCTATTCTTTTAATTTAACCAATCGACGAAGAATGTGTATTCGTCATCATAGGTCATGCTCTTGGACGTGCCATTCGAGATGTAGATCGAGACATTGGCGCATCGCGATCCTCACCTCGATCGCGCTGACGCTGCATCGGGGTTGATCGAGGTTGATGCGCACCGAGGAGAAAACGTCGCGTCGAACTGTGCATATTTGTCTGAAAAAAAGTTTCGCGTTCTCACACGGAAATCTTCACGTGGAATTTTAGTCTGACCTCCTCCTCCCCTCTCCCCCCCCTCCCCCCCCTCTCCCTCCCCTCCCTCTCTCTCCCCCTCCCTCCTTTCTCACACATCGAGTCGATAATTGGTTTTTTCCTACATATGTATTGTATACTTACGTGAGTCAGAGAATATGCAGAGGCTCGGCGGAGGCCTGTCGATCTCTCGGCCAATGGCAGGGCCGCTCGTTGCTTACGTCAGGATCGTCTCATAGGCGACGTGACGCTTTACGATCCGCCGCGTGGCACGCTATATGTGTGTATATAAATCTACAATAATCTGTGCGCGATAAATCATCCAATTTCGTGCGCGCGTGCGACCGTAAAATACCAGCTGTATACGGACCTGCTAATGAGCGCAAATAAATGATACGGTTTTATAGATCTACGCGATAAGGAAAATGCTAACGAGATGCTCGAGTCGAGACAGAATCGTCAAATTTCAATTCACGTTCATCTCCGTGGTTTCGTCATTTCGTGACTTTCGGACTAGAATATTCGTTCTCTCGTGTCTCTTTTCTATTCTACTGAACGATGCATATGTAATTATATAGGCTATTGATCTGATTCGAAACGGTACAACGCCCACGTGCGGCTAGAGCGGGTCAAACTGAGTAGAAAAGTTTTCCATTTAGCGATTTCCGCAATTAGTAATGAGCTATTAATCATTAAAAATCGAAATGAAGGCGTATCTGTCTGACCTATCGACCTAATGCGAGCGCACAGTGAGCGAAGTGAGTGCGATGTGAGATGCGACCGGCCAATATGCCGACACGCGACACACGTTCGCGGTTACTAGGAGCGCGGCGGAATGTTTAAATATGTGGTCCACAAATGACAAAGCGTCCGCTTATAGTGGGGTACATCTCCAAACGACATCGTCGCATTTCTCATAACCGCGAACGCGCGTAATGCTAGGCGATAACATCTCGCTCGTACACCTGATTATATTTGCTAATGTAGATACGCGTTTATTTGGCGATTTTTAATAAATACTTTTAATAAATAATAACTTTACTAATTGTGAATATGGTAGAAAATGGTAAAAAATTTTTTCACTTAGTTTCACCCGCTCTACTTGGCTTATGGTTGGCCCGCTCTACATTGGCTTATATTGTTGTATCATTTTGATTCGGATCTATATATGTTAAAGATATTGCGAGATTAGGATTATGTATATAATTATTAATAGTTGTTTGATAAAGCTATCGATAAAGACATAAAGCGACACTCACTAAAGATCCATTTCCCGTTGTACACTTTTTCAAGTGCTTGTGCTTCTCTGCTCAAATTTTCAGGAACAATTTCTAAGAAAATGATAATAAAGTGACTAAAAAGGGGAGGTAATGACGAATCACTTCTTCGCCGCGTGACGTCTTTGAAATTGGTTGGAGCAAAAAAAAAGTCGGAGGAAAGTAGGGGAAGTGGGAAGGAATTCGTGGCCTATGACCGCTCCGAGATTTGAATTGCGTCATCTCGCTTCCGGAGAGAAACTGTAGACTACGCAGTTTGTCGCAAGCGGGATCGCTCCCTCCTTTCTCTTTCTCTCTCTCCCTCTCTCTCTCTCTCTCTCTCTCTCTCTCTCTCTCTCTCTCTTTTTTAAGTTTGCCTTCATCGCGATGTGTATGTTCGAGATAAAGAGAAATCCTACGAAACGAATCCTACATAAAATGATGCAATGTCATAGCGTGCGTGATCATATACGCTTGATATAATAATATAGATTATTTTTCTTTCCGCTCCTTTTCAGTCAAGTCAAGAATTTCGTTAACGAATTTTCAGCAACATATTATACACGTTAGCATAAGAGGGACGTTGGATTAATAAAGAACTTGGGTTTGGGAAAAGTAGGCAGAAAATTGTTAAGGGTACAGTTGTATCCTATGATCCTATTAAAGTATATTCTTTGAAAAATTTACAGACTCTGAATTTAGAGACAAGTTTGATTTCGCCGCGCGCGCATACACACATCATCACCAAAGTTTTAATCTCGCGGTTTAATTCTTTAATGTAGAAGCATCAATTAAAAACGTCAGAAACTCTGAAAACAGTGTGACAAATTGTTTTTTTTTATTTTGAAATCAGTTTCCCGCACTCTTTCATCACTCTTTCTCATATCATAACAATTTCGTGAAAGACTTGAATCTCGAATCTATCAAGATACCTTATATTTTACTTTTTCTCAAATAAACAGTTGCATGATGGTAGAATGTATTCGAAGTTATAGAATGAATTTATGCTCGAGATGATTATCTTATTTCCATCTTTTCTCTTCCCTTTTAGAATCCTTTTACGATGGACGTTAAAAGATATCTAAACAAAGTGCAGATATCTCAAAGTACAGAATACAAACAGAGTATTGGAACTTGTCTAAAACGATCGTTCTTTTTTTCATTTGCTTCGTTACAATGTACGTTGACACGAGTGAGTCTGGGCTGGGCTAGGCCGGGCTAGACTAAGTTAGGCCTAGCTAGGCGAGACAGGACGGGATGATGAAACGGGACGATGAGACGAGACGCAAAAAAGAATCGTAATGATGAAATGTATAAACATGTATAACAAACGGAACACTCGCGTGCCTTCGAATAGAGCTAAGTTGTATCACAGCAT